CCCGAGTCTCGGCCCCGGCCGGGGGTGGGAGTGGCCGTTGAGATGACGGTTGGGAATGGCAGGGACCTGCCTGGGAACCGCGGGATTTGCCCGGCCCGTGAAAGATTTGCCTCGCTGTTCTGAATGCAGTGATTGGGCCAGCTTCTGGGGCAGAGCCAACCCAAGAGCCATAAGTGATAAGGCTGAGCCTCATAACCAGAAAAATCTGACCCTTGGATCTTTCTGTGTTACCCTCTTGTTCTTGTTTTCTTCTCCTCCAGGAGGTATGTTGCTGGAGGACAGTGTAAGTCAACGGCTAAACTAGATGGGAAGGTGGTAATAATCACAGGAGCCAACACAGGCATTGGGAAGGAGACAGCCAGAGACCTTGCACGAAGAGGCAAGTCACTGCCCTATGCCAGCAGGCATCTGCTTGTAATTGCTGTGTGTGTGTGTGTCTGCAGTCCTTTTTCTACATCTAAGGAGGATTACCTTGCAGTTTCATCTATGGAGTTGGAAATCCGATGGATAGCGCCTAGCTATCCTTCTTCTTAGAGAAAAGCCCAGTTACAAGATATAATGGTGCTTTTAACTAATGTGTGCTGATAAGTGACTGGTGCATGGGTCTGAACAGCGTTTGAGGTTAGTAAGAGTGTTGGGCACACTTACATATTAGAGAGGAGCCCAAATGTTGCTTTTCCAGAGTGTGAAACCACTGAGTCACAAGTCCTGAGTTTCTCAACTGTTTTCATTGCTTTAACTCTGAAAATGTGTCTTGTGACATGAGAAATCTCTGCACTACAACCCTTTTGAGAGGACGGGGGAAGTCCTTGGTATCACTGAGCTGCATTTGTAAGAAGCTGGGAAATGGCTTAGTTTCACTAGTGTGTATTTTTCGTTATTCTTGTTTCAGGCTAAATTGGCTTAAATGCTTTTGGGTGGCAGGTGTAGGGATTAACCTACCTGTTTGTAATTGGCTAAGAAACTGTTCTGGCTGAGGTCTTCAAGGCAAGAAGGTCAGCGAATGGGGTGAGGTTGGTGCAGTTCCATGTCCAAACAGTAGCAAGGCTGCGAACATGCTCCTAGCAGGCACTCACACAAACATGTATTTAGAACATGGATACACAAGGTTGGCCGCATAGATCAGCTCCAAGAGGAGTTGATCCAACACGCAGCACCACACAAGCAGGAACAGCAGCCTCATCCTGTTCCTGCCTTGGGCTGCTCAGGAGGAAGGCCCATTAGTAGGACACGTACACAGCATGTGGATCCCTCCAGCAGCTGGGCTTAGACACTCAGGCCATTCCTGATCCCCAGTCACCCCAGTTCTTGGCACCTGGACATACGAGCCTGTGAAGTCTGCAGCCCCCCCCTCCACTTGCCAGTACAGAGCCCTCACTTGTGCCCACACACACATACGCTGTAGGTGTGTACAGTAGCTGACCTTGCACATGTAGTCAGTCCATCCAGTCCTACACCTTTCTTTTCCAGGGGCCTCAGCCCTAGATCTACACACGCATATGTGTGCGTCTTGACCCCTATGGTCTCCCTGGTCATAGGGACTGGACTCCTTCCAGTCAATTTTAGGGTCTTGTGTTCCCTACCCCTCTCTCCCAGTCAACACCCTCAGACTCCTCAGTCGCTGTCAGTTGGCCAGAATTCCCTGGTTCCCACAATAGCCAAGCGCTCCTGTGTTCTTGCCGTTTGAGAGAGAGAGTGCACACACATGGGTTTCCCAATCAACCCCAGCTGCTACAATTTCCCTGGCAGTTGTCCAGGACTCCCCAGCCCCTCTGGGTAGCCAGCTCTCCCTGTGGTCTCCCCCTTAGAGATCCACACGTGTACCCAGGTCACTTCCACTGGTCGACTCATCATAGAGGGTAGATGCTGTCCTGGGAGGAGCAGGACAGGGAGTTGGTTCTCTGAGGAAGTGATTTGGGTTCCTCTGTTTTCCACTGTGCCTCTGTGCTTGTGGAGAAGAACCTGAGATGGGCCTGGGAGCAGCCAGACAAGGTGTTACTTGGGTTCCCTCAGTTGCCATTGTCCTTTGGTGCCTCTTTGTGCTTTTGAAGATGAGCTTTTACCACATAACCTAGCAGGGTCCAAGTAGGTGTGTGTGTGGACTGACACTGGCATCATAGGCACAGTTTACAGCCCAGTCATACCAGTACACATGCTTGACCTGGAAAAAGCTGGATAGAAGCATTTCCAGTGTGCATTTTCCTGGCCCAAGGATGACTATGGTCTGCACTAGAGCTTGCAACATATGGGTTGATACCAGTTCCCTAAGCTAACGAATTGTTTGTAGGTGCTCTGGGCAGGCTTGCAAGAGCCCTGATCCTCCAGTCCGCTCCCAGTGGTCTCAGCCTGTGCTCCTGCGTCTTTCCCTCTTGCAGGTGCCAGGGTGATTCTTGCCTGCAGAGACATAGCCAAGGGAGAAGCTGCAGCAAATGAAATCCGTGCTGAAACAGGGAACCAGCAGGTCATTGTGAAAAAACTGGACTTGGCTGATACAAAGTCCATCCGGGAGTTTGCTGATAATGTTCTAGCAGGTACAGCCCCTACATCCTTCTTTTCAATGGAAATATGTCAAGAACCACTTTCTGCTCTTCAGAGTGAGGAGGGGTCTGGAAGAGTTTGTCTTGGGAGTATTAACACCCTGCTCTGTTTCCATACCTGCTGTTAACTTGCTGGGTGATGTTGTGTATTCCACAGGGATTTTAAGGGTAGAAGCTGAGGGTGTCGTGCAAGTGATGCCCGCTGCTGGATTTGTGTATGAAAATATCTTCCCCTTCACTATATGGACCTCGTTTGCCACAAATTGAATTTTTGTGTGTGACAACTCCATTCTGGGCAAGGGCAGAAAAATGCGGCTGCCCTGGAGGCCAATTCTACCCTCCAGAGCTATTGACAGAGCCAGACAAGAGGAGGGGGTTCTGTTCTGATGCCAGTGGATTACGGCAGATGCCAGTTCCTGGCGTGCATATCCTGTACCACGTTGGTACCATGGGTTGACAGCAGGGGCTTGTCAGAGGCCATGAAGTAGTCTGTGGTAGGAGGCTTGTTCTGATTTTACTAAGGAAATATGGCTGCAACTCAAGCAGGGGTTTTGTAACTGTCTTTTGTCTCTGTTGTCTGGTTGAATGGTGTCCGTTCTTTCTCGCAGAGGAGAAGGAACTCCATATCCTTATTAACAATGCTGGAGTGATGCTTTGCCCTTACTCCAAGACAGCTGATGGCTTTGAGATGCACCTGGGAGTCAATCACCTCGGTAAGACCCTTGGAGTCAAGTGGTAAAATGTCAAAGGGGATTCTGCTTCTGGATTTTTCTCTTCCTCATTCTTCCTTTCTGGTAAAGTATTGAAGACCTGATCTAGATCTCTGGAGATAGAAGCTAGTTTCCTCAAGACTGACATGTCATTGGAAGGAGTAATGCAGTGTATTTCCTTATTGTGGGTTTGGTTTCTAATCTCTAGATAGCAGCTGGGGCACGTGAAATATGTGATAGCTCCAAGCTTTAGAAGCTGAGGAGCAGAATTTAATGGTCCCATGAAAGCTGAGCTGTTGACTGAGTATGCCGCCTTTCTCCTGGGCTCGAGGTGATGGTAGTAGTTAGCTATAGCATGCAAACAGCATGTTGAAAACACTTGGAAATGCCAGCAGGGAAAGACCAGAAAAGGTGAAATATCCTAACTTTTCCTCTCTTCCTTAAGGTCACTTTCTCTTGACCTTCCTCTTGCTGGAGCGTCTCAAGCAGTCTGCCCCAGCCCGTATAGTGAACGTGTCCTCCCTGGCTCATCACGGGGGCCGCATCCGCTTCCATGACCTTCATGGAGAGAAGAGCTACAACCGCGGCCTTGCCTACTGCCACAGCAAGCTGGCTAACGTGCTCTTCACGCGGGAGCTGGCGAGGCGCCTGCAAGGCAAGTCACCCAGCGGAGAGGGCTGTTTTGCTGCTTGTGTTTTGAGCACTGTGTATGAGGAGGGGGGGTGGGGATTAAAGAGAAGTCTAGAAATTGGATGAAAAAAATGAACTGGTTGAGCAAAGGTCACTGGTAGCTGGTTCATTCAGGAAGAAAAATAGCTGCTCTCTGTGGACCTAGGAGAAATAAAGCAGTAATCATCTTTTCAGCAACCGGGCAGAGTAGCTCATTAGATTTGCACAGTTGAACAGATTTTATTTTTCTTTGATGCTTGTCCAAAAGGTAACTGCATTTGAGCACACAACTGGCTTGTGGGGTAGAAGCTGAAGGGATTTAGAGCTGAACGTAATGTTTGACAAGTGCAGTCTATAGGGAAGAGCTATGGCATTCTCAGCTGCCTTCAATGTTGAAGAGCAGTAAAACAGAAGCATAGGACTAGGCAGACCCTCTTAAATTAGTCACAGCATCTCTGTCACAGCAATATTATTCAGGTATATTCCATATACCCAATTAAGTAGTATTAATTTTACTAAAACAGAATCAGTGTTTTCTCTAGGAAATACAGTAAATAAAAAAGATCTGTTTCTCTCAAGCCTGCTGGAAACTGCTGCTATTTTTGCATTCAGGTCTTCTAGCAGGTTGTTTTGCAAAGACTTCTAGTAACTGTGTGGTTTTGGAAAGGAGTGGGGGAAACTCCAGCAAGCAGTGAGGACTTCATTAGCTCTCCCAATATCCATGCTTGGACTTCTCCTTTTAAGCTATTGAGTATTTTCTGAGGCAAAAAGGATGTTACCCTTTTGTATGAGGCAAGCCTGATGGAGGCTGATTTGTCCCGAATCGTTTTTTCCGCAGGTACTAAAGTCACAGCAAACTCTCTGCACCCTGGCTCTGTCTGTTCCGAGCTGGTGCGGCACTCCTTCCTAATGACGTGGCTCTGGAAGGCGTTCTCCTTCTTCCTGAAGACTCCCCGCGAAGGGGCACAGACCAGTGTGTACTGTGCAGTGGCAGAGGAGCTAGACTCGGTGACAGGACAGTATTTCAGGTGGGTAGAAGTTGCTGATATGATGTGAAGTTGTGGAGATAATGGGAAAGCAACCTTGCTTGAGTGGGAAAGTAAGTATTAGTGCGATTCTTTACTGCAGAGGGGACTGCAATAGGTCACCAAAATAGCTGAAGGTGATAGAAATATGGGCCCTACTCCTTCCAGGTCTGTTCCAAGCAGCACTGTGTTCCCAGGAACCCCCGAGCTGTGCAACACCTCAGGCAGTAGCAGTCCCCACCATGCTAGGAGAGGAAGTGCAGGAGAGACTGTCACAGGCTCTGCGCTCTCATTCTCTCTGCCTCAAACTGGGGCTGACCACCCCAGTAGAGCTGTTTTAGTTAATGAAGGCACTGGAGTCAACCATGGGGAAGAGCAGGTTGGTTTTCTCTGTAATTTTAGCTTGTTGGAGGAGAAAGCCCATCCACTCACAGGCAGTTGGGATGCTTGATTTAATTCCTTCCAGGGAGTCCAGATGTGGTCAAGGTTATTGAGAGGAGCAAAAATGGGTGCTTTTGCTCCTATGGGAAAGATTTTTCAGTCTAAGTTTTAGAGCTAGGCATATAACAAAATGATTTGATCCTTCAGAGTAAGATGCACGAGCTGGGAGGCTCCTCAGGGAAAGCTCATCACTCTGGTCTGCAAATTGTCATTTCTAACTCCCACTACAAATCCCTTTTTTGTTTTTTCTTTTATCTTTTTTTTTTCTCCCCTTCATAATCACTCCCTGACAAAAATTAGAACCCAGAGCAGTTCCAAGTCATGATGAAAGTGCCCTTTAAAGAGCTTCATCAAGCCTCATAGGAAGCCGACAAGCACATGTGAGAGCAGCGTAACAGTCCCACTGCTGGGAAGCAAATATGGAAATCTGTTTTTCTTGGTTGTTGCCTTGTTTTTAGCACAGATACTGTGGGAGCCTGAACTTCTTTGCAGAGCTTTCCTCTCTTGTGCTAAGTGACCAGATTATTCTCTGTAATGGCTTTGTCTGATCTTCACTTGGAGCTAATCAGACTTGAGTATATAAATAGGTGCCTTAATCTTCCCTGCATGATTGTCTCTCCCATCTTATAAACAGAGCATTCATGTGCTGGAGAACAGAAAATGTATGTAGGTTTTAACTTCATCATAGAAGAAATAGTTGTGGACTTAGAAACAAATAGCTGAAACACTAATTCACAAATGTACCTGGCTTTACAGTGGACTGGCCTAAAATACTTTCCAGGCAATAGAATATAAAGCATCAGTATAAAACATAAAAAAAATCCTTATCTGCTACAGCAAGCCAGGCAAAGCCCCCCCAGTCTCTCAGGGATCACCACAGGCTGTGCAATATGGTACACACAGCCACTATGCTCGGCCGAGTCCAGAAAAGTTAGAAATAGCAGCAATGTAGCTCCCTCTGATGAGGGAGCTGCTCATTTGCAGCATACAACTAGTAGGATAAGAATGCACTATCCTTGTTCCAGATCGCATACAGAGGAGAGAAGAAAAAGGCATAAGATAAAACTCTACATGGCTATTACAGTATTGCCATCCTGGGGCAGGCATCCTCTGCCTTTGGTGAATGGCAATGGAATGGAATGAATTAAATTTGATAAATAGTTTTGAATAAAGGGCTGTACAAGTGGCTTTTTTGCAGTGCTTGCTGGAAAAGCTGATTTTGAATAAGCTTGGCTAGCACTTATAATTCTTTTTAGCAGCTATAAACAAATGCAAAGCCAGTTCCAGGTACTGTCAGGGAAGATTCCCCTTCCCTAGGCAGGTAGAAAGGAAGCCTTCCCAAGGTGGCTTTTCCCAAGCTCATCTGCTAATTATCCTCCCATCCTCACACCCTTAACTGCACTTGGTTTTAAGGTGACAAAAAGCAGCTCCTCTCTCATTACTACCGCCTATTCTAATGCTGACAGAGATAGTTGACTTTATCTATGTACATATACATTATTTTTTGTTTCCCTTACAGCGATTGCCAGCCAGCATATGTATCTCCCCGAGGTCGGGATGATGAGACAGCAAAGCAGCTCTGGAGTGTGAGCTGTGAGCTCCTAGGCATCCAGTGGGACTGAGCAGTGCAGGGCTCAAGCATGTATATGCCTGACTGTGGTGATGCTTCTCTTCCTGGGAGGAACACTGCTGAGAGACCCCAAGACAAGAACTTTGGCCCTTCCACATGCCCTGATGGTTCCATGGACACAACTGAGTATGAATTTCTGGAATACTATGCTTAAGGAGTGAGATTAGTAAGCAGCCGGTCCCCTTTCCTAGCTGGAGACTTAAGAGCACAAATTCAGATATTACTTATATATACTTGACATTCTATAGCCAGGTGCTAATTGTGCTCCAGCTCTAGAATAGAAATGGGAGTTGCAGTCTCATTTTTAGATTATGAATCAACAAAGACTTCCCCTGTGAGATTTTTTTTCTTTTATGGTGGTGGTGTTTTTGTTTTTGTCCACAGGAGTAATAATAGTAAGGTAGGACCATAAATTCTCAATTCCTAGTATTTGACTGACAGAATAGAAGTACTTTTTAGAGGGTTAAGGTTTCTGGCAATTCTATGCAATACAAATGCTCTCTAGGCCATAGAAACAGGTGCTGGCCTTTTCGTGCCAAGCATTAGTTAAAGTTTGTAACTGAAATTATGTATTGTTCCAAAGATGCTCTGCGAGAAGCTGGCCCATAGCTACTGCAGCAGCATGGCCACCGGTAACTACTGGCTGGCCTAAGTGACTAGGGGGCTGAGGACCATGGTTTTGGTGCAGCTGAGGGGAGGTTAAATGCTGCAACCCTGCTTAAGCAAGAAAAACTTGCCTCAAAAAAACAGCATTGCTGCTTTGAAGCATTAAGCAAAGACAATGTAAAAATTGTCACAGCAAACTCACCAGCTGCACTTCAAATGACTTCAGACCCCAGAAGTACAAGAGAGCAGAATGAGTAAAGAACACTTCAACTAGACTGAAAGAGCTTTAACCAAACAACAAACAACTTCCTTTGAGCTTTCAACTTTAACTGACAGCTGCTGCAGCAGGAAGGTAGCTGGAGCTGAGCAGTTAAAGCAGGGATCAGCACCATGCTGGTGCTAGGGGAGCTTAGCTGTCAGGCAACTAGGCTGGCCATGCAGAAGCAGGCAGCAGCCGTATGCTTGAAGGGCAGTTTGGGGACTCCTACACACTCAGGTCGCTGTTCCCCTTGAACTGAGCTCTTGGGCTCCTGACTTTGGTTCAAACTGCTACAGAGAGACCAGTAATCAGATCTTTGAAAGACCTATGCAGCTAGAAACAAGCGCTCACAGGATTATCTTCCCCTTTGGGGGCAGGGCGGGGGGAAGCAAGCAACTTAAGCATTCCACTGTGACAAAGCAGCAGTTTTAGAAAACAGATACTATTTTCATTGTTAATTCTGCTTGAAGGTTTCCATGCAGCTCAGTGCTGAGCTAATTCTGAGCAATACTCAATAAAGCCATTTTCTTTTTAGAGCAGGATACCCACTCTTCCTTCTGTAATGTTGAAGTAGTCAGTTGGTGCTGTTGCTCTATGCACCTGCCTTACCCTTGTAAAGAACACAGTTTGTGTTGCATTAAGTCCTGGCATATTTCTCTTTATCACACTCTGTTTCCTCCCTTATGTTGCACCTTGAAACCTTGAAGGTAGGGCAAAATCCACGACTAAGCAGGATCAATAAATGATATCAGGCACCTGCACTGCACGCTTTGCTGTGGCACTGTTTAACACTCATCTTGAAAAGGGTTTAAGAGCAATGAGGGGAGGGAGAAAAAAAAAAGAAAAAGAAAAAAGAAGAAAACCAGTGTCTCTGGCCCAAACACTTTTATCCTGATGGTCAACAATTTTCTCAAAGGTCTGTAGATCTAACAGAAGGCAGCTAGCAGCATATTTCCTGACACACATGCACACACTCTTCCTTTTTGACCTTGGGCAAATTATCTATCCTTGCTAAAGGTGAGCTGTAAAATGAGGCAACTTAAGCTCATTTAGCTGCCTCAAAGAGAGGCTGTAACAGAGAGTCAGATTAACTTGTAAAGCCCTCTGAAGAAGATTAGGGGCCTGTGAGAGTGCATTTATAAGCTTTTAGGATGAAATAAATAGCAAGTGAGCTAAAATGTGATACTCCAACAGCTTTAAATATTGAATATACTGTTGCAAAAAGACATATTTTTGAACTACAGCGAGACTTCTTTCCCTTCCCTCAGCTGAGCACAGCAAAAAAAAGCAAAACATGGACCTAGAAAGAAAACCCCAGCTATGTAGACATAGGGGAAAAAAAACCCCAAAAAACAGAAACTATGTTAAGAGATCTTCACTGATAGTACTTTATTTATATATTTATGCATTGTAAACAAATCTTGGTCATTAATATAGGAGTTCTTTTTAACTGGCAGTATTGAATTCATTTTTGATGTGGAACATTTCTAAACCCATTGATACTTGCACTATCATGACACAAGGCAGTTAGTCAGGATCAGAATTCCAGTTCTGCTGGTAGGAGAAAGGTGCCTAGAGGTCCAGGTTTTGAACTATTAAACTACAACTAACACTGTATAAAGTGCAAAAGTACAGTGCAAAAAGGTCAAAGAGAAAGGCAGGCACAGAACTGACTGCTCTGCAGGGCAAGCTCCACACTCACTTTCTCTCTTCATGCCACGTACAGCTGTGAAGGACTGGAGCAGAAACACAGAGTGGAGCAGTGCCTAGCTGGATACCTAAAACACTAGAAGCCCTCCCACCCTCCTGGAAATTAGAGATTTGGAAGTGATTGAAGACATGGATAGTGTCACGTTTTAGGATTAGCCTAACAGCTGTAATCTGATGAAAAAGCTAGGTCAGCTTGGCCAAGACCACAAAAGCAGCTTTCATGAGTCCTGCTCACTAATGAGATGGTGCAAAGCTGTGGCTGGCAAATTCCAAGAGCTAAATGTGGCCCTTTCCGGCTGCTCCGTGCCGTGCTGAGCCCCACGGCCGCACGGGAAGCACCACTGCCCAGATGTGCACGTCCCTGCACCTCACTCCAAGGAGATGAAGCGAGTCCTCCTCATCTCCACAATGTCACTTCTGTCATGACAGTGAAGGTGGGGAGACTGCAAGGCCCTTTCTGACAGTCTAATTACCTTATGTATTAAAACTATTTACAGTTATGTTACACTTCAGAAACTTTTTTTTTGTAGAAAGTAGACAGCAGTTTAACATTACAAACACTCTACTACTTTTCCCATCTCTTGTACTAAAGTACATGTAGACTGCAAACACATACTCTTAGTTTATCCTCCACCCTTACAAAACAAACAAGGCAAAACAAAACAAAAACCTGCTACTCTATGCTTACACCCATTTCTCATGCCCCAATATTTGTGGTTGCACAAACAGCCACCTCTCCCAGCATCCCTGAACACAGCTACACAAAGATGCCTGTTTTTTCACAAAACCGAATAAACCTACCACTACTCATCTATTTCCAGTCACAGTAAACATCCACACACAAGAAAAAAAAATCAGTGCAAAAGCTACCTTGAGCTACAGAATACTTCATTTTCACCTGCTCTTACACACTCCAGAGCGAAGTCAGGCAATATATTCATCTGTACAGTTTATGTCCAATTAACAAAAATTCAGTCTGGTGCTCTATGTGCCTCACAGGACAGAAGTATTGTGCTAAGAAAAAAGAAAACAAAGCCATCGACCCCTTTATGACTGGGATACAAACTGCTTGCTCAATTTTAGCAGAGTTGTATCTTTCCATGGTTTCCACTGTATCTGATGTGAAATTGTGGAAGTTTATTGGCAACTGTTCAATGATAAGCCTGCATCAAAACAATTTATTTGATACATCACAGAGAAGAGAGAGGTAGGCTGGTTGTAATCATTTTAAAAGATTATTTCCCTTTTGTATTCCCCCTTTCCTGGATATCCCCTTTCAGCTTCATCTCTCCATTAAGGGCTTAAGTGCCATGTATATGTCAGATAGTGCAACTGGTAAGTAGAAACCTGCCTAGAAGAACCAGTTTCTACCTTTTCAAAACAGCTAGAGAAATTGAGCACACTGCACTAATGGGAAGGAAAAAAAGAAGAGTAAAAGTTTGTATAGAGGCTTAAAAAAAAAAAAAAAAGGGAAAAAAAATCACCTTTTTGCTTCAGCTGCTATAAAAGATCTCCAATCTTCAGAAATTTTACAGGGAAACTCATAACCAAAAAAATGTATAAAAAAATGTATGTGTGTATGTATGTGTGTATATATATATATATTCTAGGCTACATCAAACTGATATGATGTTACCAGCCTCTTTTTGTAGGTTTTATGGGTTAAAATTAAGAACCGTAACAAAAAGATCATTGTCTTTCTAAAATACATGAGTTCCTTCTTCCATAAAGCTAAAAAGTCTTGTTTGTTCAGTTTGAAAGTCTCCACACACACACGCACGCACACACACACGCACACACACACAGAAAGAAAGGCCAGCAAACACCCTGAGGTAGCAAGAAGCACTGGCACTACTGGCACTTGTACCTTAGTTCCCTTCCTTTCAGCCAGAGGAACATCAGCAGCTTCCGCTGGCCACCAGCGCGCTCCGAGATGCCCCTTTCACCAAGGGATCGCAGGGCTGCCCGCCTCGAGCTGTGGGAGCCGGCCCTTCCTGGAGGCTGCCAGAGCGGCTACTTCCTGCTGCCCTGGGCCTGCCGGCCTCTGGCCCGGGGCTGGTGGCCCAGGAGCCACTGGGCGCCGATGGCCTGCACGATGTCGTCGCCGCCGCGCTGCGCCAGCTGCCGCACGTGCTGCACCAGCTGCACCGCGCGTGCCGCCTCCTGCCGCACCGACACCAGGTAGGCTGAGCGCAGCTTGTTGCACATCAGGTAGGCCTGGATCTGAAACACAAAGGGCCGAGGCAGCTTTGTTAGAAGGCTGCAGGAACGGAACTTGCAACAAGCTCAAGAACAACTTCCCTGGAAAAGTGTAGCACAGAAGCTTGTCGTTTAAGACACAGCCAACTTGTTATGGAGCAGAATGCACCATGGAGCAGATTTCACTGGAAGAGATAAATTGATGTATTTTAAGGCTCTGTCTCTTATGGGAACTCCTTTACAATATCCCTAGGGAATCAACATCAGGAATCTTTTGTGCATTAATTTTCCTACTCTCATTTCAAAGATTCTAGATGAGTCATCTTCATCTACAGCTTCGTCCTTGAAAAGGACGCACCTGCCAGCAATAAACCTTGTACAAGTGCAGAATTAAAGGGCTATTTTTTCAATCTGCGTAAAACATTTACTTTTATTACTTGGAGCAGGACAGAGGATAATACCTAGCTACGCCACTGATCCCTCACATGATCTGTGGGGATCCACACGCTCTAAGAGCCACAGCCTCACCACCTACAAACACACATCTGGAGTCCACATATTTACCTGGAACTCTCCAGTGGTTTGACAGGCTGATATTAAAGCATTTGCTTTAACTGTGCTTTTACTTACTTTGTTTTCATCACTGTCCATATCCTGAATCAGATTATCAAGATCCTGCATCAAAGAAAAGGAAAAAGGTGTTCATACTTAGGACAACTACAGTTTCCAAACCCTTCCTCCTACAATTGTTCCCTATGAAGACAGGAATTTTTCTCTCCACAAACCCCTCTCTGCCAGGGAAGCTTGGTGGAAGGGAATGCCTCCACCCCAGGCAAGAGCATTGCAGGATCCTGCTGGGCAAAGGTTCTCCCCACGTTACAGGTACTCCTTTGGACAGCTGGGGCATGCAGTGGTTCCTTACTGCTGCTTTTCAGAGTTAACTAGACAAAGCACCCAGAGCACCCCCAGCTTTAAGCAATGCATGTGGCACAGGGCCAGAAGATTTGAAGGAGGTGCTAGAAGGGCAACCTCTGGACAGTTTCTGTATCCTGTTATATTTCTAAATGGAAACACAGCAGGAGAGC